CTCAAATCACCAAGAAGTGAGAACTCCAATCTGTTGTAATCTTAAAAGATATAATAGCAATATTTATACCATGCACACACACAACGACCATCCTTATTACATCCATAATTTCCCCTTTATAGCAATAGCTATCCATCGCGTACAACAACCATCCTTATTTCCCCTGAAAATCTTATGAACTATTTCATCCAATGACAGGTTGCAGACATAATTGTCAGAGTGAACCTCGTTCATAGTTTTAACCAAAATCTTATAGACTATTTCATCCAATGACATACCGCAGTCATATACGTCAGAGTGAACCTCGTCCATAGTTTAACCAAAATCTTATAGACTATTTCATCCAATGACGGAACAAAGTCATATACGTCAGAGTGAACCTCGTCTATAGTTTTAACCAATCATAATCTCAAAATAGGTTTATATTCAAAACCTTTCGATCCTTAGAACAATCTGTTATGTATATGATTTCTCAAATCATCTAATCCTCTTTAAATCCTCAACACAGGATATCAAATCCAAAACTGCTTTAAGGCACAGTTTCTACTTTAATCTTTTCCAAAACAGATTCAAACTTCAGAATCACCAAATATTTCCTCTAAAACTTAAACAGAATAGTTTTACCAAATTCCTTTAAACTTCAAACTATCAATACTCAACAGTTTATAAAATCAACAGTCGATATAAACTCACGGTTTGTAAATAGATAGTAGTTCAAAAACTCACAAGTTATATCAAAACAGTAGTTAAACTCACCTTGTTATAAHARATTCTGTAGTAAAAGATCACACAACAAACGCAGATTCTTTAAAACACCGGTTCTTTTTCAAGAACACCTTCACCGTCTTCAACTTTTCTTTCTAAGAAATATCTCTTCTTTCAAAACAAGGAATGATAAAATAAGATTATCTTGTCTTATTTTTCTATTTATACTCCTTTCTAATATACGAATACTTTACTTCATCACTAAGATACCATTACTTTACTTCATCACTAAGATACCATTACTTTCCTTCATCACTAAGATACCATTACTTTACTTCATCACTAAGATACCATTACTTTACTTCATTACTAAGATACCATCTTACTTCATCACTAAGATGCCATTACTTTACTTCATCTCTAAGATACCATTACTTTACTTCATCACTAAGATACCATATTACTTCATCAATAAGATACCATCTTATTTCATCACTATGATACCATTTAAATATTATTATACTGCACTTGCACCTTACCTATTAAATATATACACATACATAACATAACATATGCATGTATCCTTTTACGTTCATCATGTCTTTGCACATATATCATCCATGTATATTATTTTATCATGCATACCATTAGATATTCAAATATTAATCACGTATAATTTTACCTCGACCCAGATTGTCTGAAACCGGGTTATAACACCTAATCGATTGGAGTTGCTAAAATTCTGTCCATATTGTTACAAACATTT